CACAATGAATTAGAGTAATATATACCGTCAATAATATAAATATGAGGATGGGAGGATCCTAGGATGTGTATCAACCCGGAGATTTAAGAATTCAAAAATTCAAGCTCTAAGAATGAGGAGTTGGATCTTAACAATGAGAGTCCGAGGAAATGAGAGGACTCGGGGATTTAAGAATCCGAGGATCTAAATTAAAAAGAAACATCACATTTTTTTTCACCAACCTTTTCACTTTGCAGGTGTGGTAAAACGTTCGCAGTTGATTCAAGAGATGTCAAGAAATGGCTTCGAAGACATTCCGACCTGTAATCTAACATCCCAGCAATATCGTTTATTCGATCGATTACTCTCAATCACATCAATCGCATGGTCACTTAATCGAACTCGTTAAAATATGTAAAGATTTACAAATTGGCATCTACGTTGATAAATTTAACATTACAAATATAACGGGGCTAAATCAGCTATTAATTCTAGATTCATTTTAGATTGATTCTAGATAAATACGTATAAAAATTGTAGTAAGTCAGGGTAATTATGTATAATTCCTTCCTAATTGTATCAAATAAACTTTCTATGCACCAAACGTATTCGAGCAGCACGAGAGCTACGCGAAAAGTTAATGCGGTGGCACTTATCAGTAGTCACCGAACATACGTACACATATGTATATGCACATAGTCGCAATTAATGGGACGCCCACTTCTTCAAGATATCGGCGGCTGCTTTCAAATTTTCGTCCTTCTGTTAAAACGCAATAATCGATATTTAACAAACGCCAAAGTCGCTTGCTGTCTTAATCCAAGTCATTGGCACTTGCTCTCGCGACAGCACTTACCTTTATAAAACAGTACCGCACATAGTCTTCCGCTAAAGTCTTATGTTCAGGGCCATAAAAGGCCGAGGGAGGAATACCTTGAAGGCCGACGTTCTTCGTCATCCATTTCGTGAATCTGTAGTCCTTGTTCTTGTCCTTCTCCTCGTGCAGTCTCACCTTTTTCTCCAAAGGGGACCAGTTAGCAAGCATAAAGTATCCACCCTCGGGTATCGTCGGCACCATGCCGACTTCCCGAAGGAATTTCGCCATGTAATCGCGCTTCGGTAATAACTCCATCGCCAGACTGTGGAAATAACATTCCGGCTGCTCCAGGCGTTCCATTTCCAGCTCGAATCCGATAGCCACTGCTTCCTGCGGAGTTAAAACAAAACTTATTAACGTATCCAGGCAAAATTTATAAACTGAATAGAAAAATGTCGTTCAATTGGTTACCTGAGTCGGCGTGGTACAGGTATACACGGAGCTCTGATGTACAACTTGCAGATTGTACAATAAATGCGCTGGTCCGTAAGCCCAGCCTATCTTCCAACCTGTAACGCTGAACGTTTTGCCCGCCGATCCAATCGTGATTGTGCGTTCGTACATACCGGGCAATGTCGCTAATCGGAAGAATAATTTTCTTAGTGTCACTCTGGGAATTCTACATCATACGATAGACTTTGTAAGGCGACTTACTTACCGATTCTTATATGTTTGTACGGCTTGTAAACGATATGCTCGTAAACCTCGTCAGAAACCACAAGCACGTTCCACTTCTTGGCGAGATCGGCAATAAATTGCAATTCGTCCAATGTAAATACTTTTCCTATGGGATTATGTGGGGTGTTGAGGACTATACCTTTGGTTCTCTCATTGAACAGACTTTCCATCTCCTTCCTGTCGAATACCCAATCGCCGGAGGTGACCGTGCCCGATGTAGCATTCTACAAAAAGTTAACGTGCACTGTGTATTTAATGCAAACAGTTTCTTCTTTCGTTTATCGTCACCAGACTCCTTACCGGTTTTAACGCTATGTATCTGGGGATCCCTCCAGCAGCCAGCACCATAGGTACGTAACAGTCGAAGAAGGGTTCAATGATGATCCACTCATCCCCAGGATTAGTGTGTCCCTGCAGAGTGGAATACAATGCTTCGTAGGCGCCCGCTGTGACTATCACTTCCTTGTTCGGGTCCAAATCGCGGTTGATGAGCTTGGAGTAGAACTTTGCAATCGCATTCACTAATCTTGGATGACCCTGCAACGTTCACGCTTGCGTTAGTGGCAAAATACATTGTACAACGCGTATGCAAGACATTCTTATCGTCATTGTCGCGTTGTGGACAATAATTACAATTGCACAAACGTTGCCGCGTTAAAAGTTTATATATAAAAAGGAAACTAAATCAAATTAACAAGAGAACAAGATTATTCGAAAGTTAACGACTGCAAGTGCCTTACAAATCCTCTCGTGTACTGTTGCAAGAGCGGATTGTCACTCTTGGCGATAGCAGCCAGGGCGTTGGTCACGTTCTCCGGCGCGTGATAGTCGGGGAAGCCCTGGCCCAGGTTCAACGGCTTGTACTGCAGAGCGAGCTGGATGTATTCGACCCTAACCAAAGCAACATAACCAAGCTGTAGTAATGCGCTATGTAAATTTATGTAAAACAAAGTGTCTTTATCTATCGACGGCGCGACGTCACTCACCAGACAGAATCCACGCTGCCCTTCAAGCGATTCGGCAAATCGAACTTGGACATTCCGGCGACGCTTCTGATGTTCCTCACTGCGTTGAACGGTGCGGTCTTGCTCGCCAGGAGGACTCTCGTTAGCATCTAAAGGCGCACACGAGCAAACAAGTGTCAGCGCTAATTCGCGACTCGCGATCGATCACGCTGCTTTATTTATTATGCACGCAATAACAGTTAATTATTTTGATCGCGGCGCAAAACCGGATGACGTTGGCAACTGTGACAGTTCGATGTACAGGGCTCCCTACCTTTTCACGGTCGCGGAGCTTTGACGGTAGACGAAGAAGTTATCGCGTCCACTTAACGTCATAACTTTTCGAATGTGTAATTTGTCGCGAGCGATAAAAACTTACGTAACTTTTGTGGCGGGAAACTCGAGTCGCGCGGAAACAAAGACACCGGCCACGCCTCAAGCGGACCCGTTGTTTTCGTGGATTTAAAGACGCTCGGAGGGTCAATTGTGTATCTAAAAGTGATGTCTGGTCTCTCTCTAGCGAGACAGAGAGAAACGAAGCCGCTCACTTTGAAGCCCGATCTACAATGTGCTCTTTGGGTTTCTAGAAACATTCTGTTTTATGCAAGAAAATGAAAACGCTTCGGGAATTTGTCGACGACGTGCGATGTACAATCGTACAATTTAACGACTCGCGCAAATTTTTCAAACGACTTATCGGCTGGAAATCAATGTTTCCAGACGCAAAAAGAACACATTGTAGATTAGGCTTCAGCATTTACGCTACTTCGGACACAAACTTGGAATACATAAAATTAGAAAAAAAATGTAATAAAAGGCAAGTTAAAACCGAGAAAGTTAACGCGCGACGGCAATGGAAAATGTAATCAAGTTACGAGAGAGAAACGCGGTACCCAGTGAGAAATGATTCGTCGATCGACGTCGATTCGACATCATTTCGACGTCGATCGACGAATCATTTCTCACCGGGTATCGGGCAACGTATATGTTGTCGCGGGGAACCCCAAGTCGTCGAGGATTAGAAAGAGTAAATGCAACGCTACTCTCGATTAAGGGCCGGTCGTTCCGATCTCCTGGCAAGTTAACCGCAAACAGCCAAATCGTACGTGCGCCTTTGGTTTCCCCTCAAACTCGACAAAGACACAATTTAACAGTTAGCTTACCAAGAAGTTGGAAAAACCGGCCCTAACGGCCCACCGCGTCGTCGCGAGTCGAGCGACTGTAACCGTCTTCGACTCCCGCTCCCGCCGTCGTTCGCCCAAGGTCGATATTTCTAGTTCACTCTCATATTCAGACATCAAGTACGCGCGATCTTAAGATTACAGCAATCAAAGCCGTGTTAGCATCCTAAGAGATCACTTGAGGCAGGCTTGAAGTAAGAATTTTAACGGACCACGAATACCGAGTACTTCGACCCCCCCCCCCCCCCCACAGGCGTTTTTTCCTCCTACGCGCGCGGGCGTTACTTACCGAGAGCACGAAGAGAACCGTGACGCCTCGCATGACGGACATGTTTGCTCTGATACACTTTCGACTCGTGCGAAATGTAATAACGAGTGACAGAGGTCTGCCATGAGCCACTTTCACTTTTCCAGCAGTCCTTCGATCTTGGCGGACGCGTTGCGGCACGGAAAAGGCGCTGAAAGGCGCGATCGAATCTCCCCTCCCCGCCCGGCTGTTTCGCGCGCCTTTTCGACACCGGCGCCGGCATAGACGAAGCAGCGTTCGTAGACCGGCAACTCCGAGGGAATTTTCGGGACGACTGTCGGCATAGACGAGGCAGCGTTCGTAGACCGGCAACTCCGAGGGAATTTTCGGGACGCCCGTTCTGTTCGGGCCCGAAAGGTAACGAAATGTTTGGCTGCAACGAAGATTTTCCGTTCTCGCGTTTATCGCACGAGAGCCTTGTCGCACCGAGTCCGATTGCCACTAGGAAATGTTCGATTACGTCGAGCATCGACGGCAAATCGCGGGAATTCAGCGATCGCACGATATCACTCACAGACATAAAAATTGACCAATCATAGTCGATCATTCTTACGACTACAACTTTGCGACTCGCATTGTGTATGTACATACACTCCACATCACTGTATCCAAACGCCACTTCTTCGGTTTTCACCGTGGAATCCGATTGTCACAGAGTCCGATTCATCCGATTGCCACTACGAAATGTTCGATTACGTTGAGCATCGACGGCAAATCGCGGGAATTCAGCGATCGCACATTGAATATCACTCACTGATTGCTCGCAGAGAACGATCGCGGTTTCTTCGCGCACTTGTCGCGAACGCGTATATCAAGAAAGAATAGCACGAAACGCGAAGCGGCGCGGGGACAACCGAACGATTCGACTGTCGCCGCATGACTGATCCTGCGTACGGCGCCGTAAACACCGCAAAAACCGAGCGCGGATTCCAAGAAATGACGTAGCGCCGTCAACACCTCGGACAAAAACAATCTATTGGAACGCGCGCTCGGTTTTCGGCCGAGGTTTTTACGTAGCTACGTCATTTCGTGGAATCCGCGCTCGGTTTTTGCGGTGTTTACGTTGCCGTACGCAGGAACATTCGCGCGGCGACATGATTCCGAATTGATCGGTTAGGCCCGGTCTACAATGAGTCGTTAGTCGTTAGTCAGAAGTCGCAACTATATGTTGATCCTTTTCCTTTCTGGGTGGAAGAAAAAGGACCGACATATAGTTCCGACTTCTGACTAACGACTAACGACTCATTATAGACCGGGCCTTACGCCCGCGCCGCTTCGCGTATCGTATACGTTATTCTTTTTTGATACGCGTTCGCGACAAGTGCCCAGGCAACCAGCTGACGTCGTAATGACGTAAATTAACGTGATTTTTGTCACTAATTGGTGACTATGACCTAAATTGACGTTATTTTGAACGTCATAACAATGACGTCAGTATATACATCATAAGTATACGTCATATATGACGTAACTATTGGTCTTTGGAGTGATGTCAG